CCGGTCGTTCACGCGCCCGCCGGCCCTTCCCGTCCTTGCCTGCCCCTTCGCGCCTTTCCTGCCTCGTCGCGCCTCTCTAGCCCTTAGCAGCACGCCAGCCACCTAGCGCTCCGTTGGCCCCAATGCTCTGCCGGCCCCATGCGCCCTGCTGGCTTTGCGCGCCCTGGGCCCCGCGCGCCTCGAGGCCCTCTTCGGCCTTCCCCCCGGTCTTCTCGCCGGAGAGTCCTGCCGCTATGCCGCCGTGTCGCTGAATACCTGTGCCGCTGTTTTGCCTTGACATTGTGTCGTTGTGCCGCTGTGACGCTATGCCGCTGTGCCGCTGCTCTGCGGAGGTTGCATGATGGCAGACGGTGTGCTTTGCCTTGACACGGAGGGATACGCGATCGACTTCGCCGCCTGGCTTGTCGATCTCCGCCGCCACTTGATAGGTCAGCGCCAAGATGGGCACTCCCTTGCTATGCATGTTGATGGCTTGCTTCCGCACCCCCCATTGCCTGGTCCCCTCCGAGCTCACCCCACCACTGCTGAGAGTGAGACCTTTGCTGCTGCTGCGCTCGCTCGCATTGTCTTGGACTCTTACGATGCTATAACGCTGCTCGCCATTGTCATGCGCTTCCCCTGTCCGAGCGTCCGCACTTCACTGCTGTCGCGAACGCCAAGGATTTCCTAGATGCAGTAGTTGCGTGTTACTCCACACCCGCCTCCGCCTCTGCTGGCCGCTTGATCCTCCCCATGCTATTCTCCGATCTTTCCGCTTTCCCTACTGTCGCTGACCTCGCTACTCACCTCCGTGCACTAGAGACTAGCTACCGCGATGCTAGCACTACCACCCACCTCACTGCCTTCCCCCCACCATTCTGTGCTACCCTGTACCTTATTGCCATGCGCCTGCCGGACCGCTTAGCTACTGCCCGAGACCACTTCCATAGCCAGCACCCAGATGACCTCACCCTGACCGCCTTTGTCACTGCCCTTTTCGAGATAGAGACTCGCCAGCGCACTATCGTTCAGTCGAGCAGTGTTGCGGGAGTCCCTATCTCTCAGGGCTGTGCTCCCTCCCAGTGCACGTACGCTGACGTTTCCGCCGTGGTCGCTACGGCTGCTCCTACCTCTGAGACCGCAGATGCGGCCTTCCTGCAGCAGCGACAGCGTCGGGGCCGTCGCAGCCCTCGTCGGAGGGCATGGTGAGGGTGTTGGTGGTGGTGGTGTTGGCGGAGACAGTGGTTCTGACAAGGGGGCTGGGGCTGGTGTCCAGGAGTAGCAGCAGCCGCATCAGACGCAGCCGCAGTAGTCGCAGCAGCAGCCGCAGCAGACGCAGCCGCAGTAGTCGCAGCAGCAGCAGCAGCAGCAGCCACCGCAGTAGCAGCAGCAGCCATGGGCTCGCCTCCCGCTGGGGTGGCCAGGAGCCCCTAGAGGTGGTGGTCGCAGTGGCGGTCCTCGCAGCTCGGCATCTACCAGCGGCTTCGGTGCTGTGAGCTGCCAGTACCAGCTGCAGACCGGACCTCTCAGTGGCACTGTGTGTCGCCGCCCGCATCTGACCGCCCGCTGCTTCCACCGCCTCAACGACCTTTTCCGTTGCCGCATCGGCCCGGCCCCAGACCTCCCTGACTGGCCCAGTCTGCTGCATTACGGTGTGCCTGTTTTTGATTTAGATATGGATCAGATTAGTTCTACCCTCATTCTGTATATGCTGATGCTTCTAGTGTGCCCGGATCTTATTACCATGTGTTCTCTAGCTTAGGCGTAGCACCTGTGTATAGTACAGGCTCCCATGCTGCGTCAGGCGTAGGACCGTTTGCTTTGTCTAGCCTAGGCTCTACCCTTGCTCCTCTTTCGTCCACCGCTACCGCTTCACTGTCCTTCACACTTGACTCTGGTGCATCTGCCTGCTACTTCCGCGACCACGCTGCACTCACGCCGCTTGCCACGCCTACCGCTATTGCCCTTGCTGACCCCTCCTCTGGTCCTGTCATCCCTCGCAGCTACAATACCTTTCCCTATCCAAGGATTCCCTCAGGTTCCCTCACAGGCCTGCACGTCCCCTCGTTCTCCCGGAACATAGATGGTGTCGGCTGACTTCAGGACCTCGGCGTCACGACTACGTTCCCGGGTCACGAGCAGTACGCTGTCTGTACCGAGGCCGCCTCAAGTTCCCCCCTTGATATGTTCCCCCGGGGCCCGGTGTCTGGCCTGTTTACGCTGGACACTGCTTCCCCCCCGGATGGAGCGTCCTCCCCAGGTCCGTCGTCTACCCAGGTCGCCGCTGCGTGCTCGTGTCAGTCGCTCACTCACCCGTCGCTTCTGTGGAACCACCGCCTAGGTCACCCCGCACTACCACGCCTGCGTCACTAGTCTCAGCACGGTCTCGTCCTAGGTCTCCCTGCATCGCTTCCTGCCCTCCCTCCCTTACATGCAGCGCCGTGCACGCTCTGCGTCGAGGGCCGGCTGCGCCATGCTCCTCACTCCTCCTCGCTTCGTTTTGCCACCGCACCCCTCCTGACCCTGCACCTGGACGTCTGGGGCCCAGCCCCCGTCCCTGGACCGCGTCGTGAGCAGATGGAGATAGAGCATGCGAGAGCAGATGAGGATGCAGCATGCAAAAACCGATGGAGATGTAGCGTGCGAGAGCAGATGGGGATACATCATGCACGAGCATATGGGAATACAGCATGCAAGAGCAAGTGGGGATGCAGCATGTGAGTGTAGATGGGGTTACAGCATGCGTGAGCAGATGGGGATACAGCATGCGAGAAGCAGATGGGGACACAGCATGCGGGAGCAGATGGGGATACAACATGCGATAGCAAATCGGGATACAGCGTGGGAGAGCTGATGGGGATACAGCATGCAAGAGCATATGGTGATACAGCATGCGAGACAAGACGTGGATATAGCATGCGATAGCAGATGGGGATACAGCATTCGAGTGTATAATTGGGATACAAAATGCTAGAGCGGATGGGGATACAGCATGCGAGAGCAGTATGTGTGGTGAGCTTGGGATTGACGCCATCCTCGTTACCTTAACCCCCCCTCTCCTAGTTTCCCCCTCTCCCTGGTACTCCTCACCCCTGGCTAGTCCTTGCGCAAATGCTTGGTACAGGAGACGCTAATGAGTCTGTGCCACACAGCCAAGCATTGTGGCATGCCCGGGCCTAAACTGACCCCCCTTTGTTCCCCCGTATCCCTTTTCCCTCCCCCCAGACACTCCCCCCCCCCTCCCCCCCCCCCCCCCCCCCCCCCCCCGATCCGCCAGTCCTTCCACAACCATCTGGTGCTGGAGACACCAATGAATCTGTGCTACTGAGCCAAGATGGGCAACATGACTAAGCCTATCCTCCCCCCCATTTTTCCATGTTATAATCACACTAGGCTTAGATGTGCCTAAAATGAGGGATAGAGTGCAGAGTCGGATTTCTGTCACACGGCTTCAAATATTGATACCAATATGGTCTATTCTTCAAACGGTGCTCTATAAATGGGTCCTGAAGCTCGTTGCTGTCACCTATCATTTGCAAGTTGAATTATGAAATTCCATGAAGATTTGACGACGCTTTGACAGTTTGACTGCAAGGTGGAACACCAGCCACTATAGTCTTAGATGTACAACTTAGCAAGAAGAATCGAGATTGAGATGGTTCCCTGCCTCAGAGGTCCAGGTTGGTGGTACACCATGGCAGAGTCCCCAACCACGAAGAGTTTTGAAACAAACTCAACAAGGAGCTACACTAAGTGAAATGTTACGAAGTAGCATTACTATTTTCACCATTTTAGCACTTATCCATCTCCTTTGGGCTTGAACTCTTGAGCTCTTGGCCTTGGTTCTTCAAGATAATTTTTTCTTGATTTGATAGGACCTTGCTGCACACACCTGCGATGCGATGAGCAATTCACACTCGACAAAATAGGAAAAAATATGCGACGCACAAACAACGACTTGACATGCGAGTAGTGAACACAAACCACATTGTGATACACCTTTCAAGCACACACACAAGCACTAAATGGCATCCCCATAGACTCACAAGTCATTCCACACGATGCATGCATGCACACGAACAAGGAGGACAAGCCGAGTGCAAGTCATAGGGTTGCACCAATTTTCCCCACCCCATTTGTCCCCCCCGCGCAAGTCATTCCGCAACCACCTGGTGCAGGAGACGTTGATGAACCTGTGCTATGCAGCCAAGCGCTGCGACATGCTGGAGTGCTTCCGACTTGCTGCAGGCGGCTTTGATGTGGCGGCCGCTGACTATGATGGCAGGATGCCCATGTTTCCAGCACACTCTCCAAGCTTCTGACTATGGTGAATTTCGCAAAATGCTTATCCCCCTGTCCTCTCGTCCACCACAACCAGCAGTTATGACCAGGTAGGACAAGGTGGTGCAGTTCCTGTTGGCCCACAGCGCGCAGGTGAATGCTAAGGACGCCTTTTGGCGCACTCCCATGTAGGAGGCCGTTGCTGCGGGGCACTGCAGTAGGGCTGAGATCCTCCGAAGGTGAGTTGCATGTGCCATGCTCCACAAACAGACAGTCAGCAGTGCCGTGCTCCTTTGAATGTGAGCCAGCAGTGCACTGCGAGAAACTGAACAGCTGGCTTTACTTAGGAAGGAGAAAGGTGCCAAAGGGAGCCTTGATTTATTGGCTAGGCCTAATTTTGGGTTTGACTAGCTTACAGGTTGAAACAATAAGTGGAGCTCCATGTTCATTGGTTTGGCATTAAGTTTGGCAGGCCACTTATCGGAGAGACAAATAATGGAGTGGGTGGAAAACCGAATAGGGGGCTGAGTAACAGCCATTATTGGTTTACCCCATCTTCATGTGTACACCCTCGAAAAGGTACAACCTGTATGTACCCCAACCACAATGTACACCCCCAAATAGAGGAAGCAGGGCCGTGTGGGTGGCTGCGGAAGGGTCTTGGTGAACATTTGTGGAGCTCGATATGCTTGGACTGACTAAGGAAGATAGTGTCCTTGGTGAGGTGAATCATGTTGGCGTTGTCGCACCAGATGGTAGGGAAAATTTGAGGGTAACCAAGCTCAGTGAGAAGAAAGATGAGCCAGCAGCCTTCTTGTGCAGCCATGGTGTTGGCGTAAATTTCGGCCTTGCAGGAGAAGAGGGCGATGGCCCGTGTAATGGGTGAAGCACCTGCTGATGAGGCCACTGCTCACCGAGTTTCTCCTCGTGGCACCACTCCTCCGAATCCACATATTCACTCAAGTCACAGAGGACAGACAGATTTGCATTATTCCGAAGAGCACCTGCCCGCCATTTATAGGCATTTCACCACATCTTCTGCTCCTGCACTTCTCTCTCCCCCTCCTCTCCCCTATCACCCCTCCTCCTCTCCCTCTATTCTCCCTCCAATCACCAGGAGAGCACTCATCCGGGCAATCAACTAAAGCACGCGTGCCGCCTGGCTGCTCCCACCACCACCACCACCATCACCACCACCACCACCACCACCACCACCACCACCACCACCACCACCACCACCACCACCACCACAATCACCACCACCACCACCACAATCACCACCACCACCACCACCACCACCACCACCACCACCACCACCACCACCACCACCACCACCACCACCACCACCACCACCACCACCACCACCACCACCACCACCACCACCACCACCACCACCACCACCACCACCACCACCACCACCACCACCACCACCACCACCACCACCACCACCACCACCACAATCACCACCACCACCACCACAATCACCACCACCACCACCACCACCACCACCACCACAATCACCACCACAATCACCACCACAACCCATAAATTGGGTTTTCGGTAGGCAAAAGGGAGCTGTACCAGGGCAACTTGTGTCAGGTGGTGATGCTTGTGTGGTAACGGAAGCTGCAAAGCCCGCAGTTGCTTCAACAAGTCAGCAGCAGTGGCAGAAAGCACAGACACCGCTGTGAGAGGTGGAGGATACTTTGGCGGAAGACATCTAGGAGGCAGTGCGATAATCTCAGCAGCAGTATCGTCAAAAAAGAGTGATGGACAAAACAAGCAGCAGCATGCGAAGCCCCCCTAGCATTGAAATCACAAAGCAGAATTAATTGTGGTACAATGTGAGCTTCTGATGAACTCAAGAAAGCCAGCACTGTAATCTGCGAAGAAAACACCTGTCACGACAAGAAGGACCGACTCATTGAAAAGAACAGCCAGTAACTATATGTTTCAAAAAACGCCTTGTACTTGTTAGGTTAGTTGTGTTTGTATAGCCAAGCTAGGTCAACTCTTAGAGAGTACAACGTCTTGTACTTGTATCTCCCCTCACCATTCCTAGTGCACCTTTTTCAGGGCTATTCTGACATGGCGTTAGAGCAAGGTTTAGGTTCGTCACGGTTTCGCCCAAAGGTAGCACCACGAAATCTCACTTCAAACGACCTGGTCGACTCGCCGACAAGTTGAAAAACTTCAGAGAACTTAAGCACCAAAGTCAACCTAGCTTGCCACCTCTTGCTACCAGCCCGCCGCTAGATAGCCACCACTGCTGCCTTCCAGTCACTCGCTGCTGCCGCAGTCAGCTTGCTGCTCACCGCTGCTTCTGCCAGCCTCCTGCACGTTGCCACTAGTCTGCCGCTAGCCCCCACTGCCAGACCACCGCTACGGCCACAACAGCCACTGCGGCTACCTTTGTTAGGGCTCCTGTAGCCCCTAGCGCCTCCCACTAGTCTCCTCCTCGCTTTTAAGAGTTCCTCGACGCCTCTCCTTTTGGCATGGCGACCTCGTTGGAGTCAGTCCCTCAGCCGGACCACCAGAATTTTCCCTCTGCTCTCCGGTTTCTCGCTCGCCATCTACAACAGAGTCCCCGCCAGTTGCTGCGTCTAATGGGGTAGCCGCGTTGTGCTCCTGTCACTTCCTCGCCCACCCAACTCTTCTGTAGCACCACCGCCTGGGTCACACCTCACTCCCGTCTTATGCACATGTCCCAACACAGTCTAGATACTGGTCTTTCTTGCGTCACTCTTAGCCCTGCCTGCATCGATAGAGCAGGGAGGAAGAGAGGCGAGAGAGCAGGGAGGAAGAGAGGCGAGAGAGCAGGGAGGAAGAGAAGCGAGAGAGCAGGGAGGAAGGGAAGCGAGAGAGCAGGGAGGAAGAGAGGCGAGAGAGCAGGGAGGAAGAGAGGCGAGAGAGCATGGAGGAAGAGAAGCGAGAGAGCAGGGAGGAAGAGAAGCGAGAGAGCAGGGAGGAAGAGAGGCGAGAGAGCAGGGAGGAAGAGAGGCGAGAGAGCAGGGAGGAAGAGAGGCGAGAGAGCAGGGAGGAAGAGAAGCGAGAGAGCAGGGAGGAAGAGAGGCGAGAGAGCAGGGAGGAAGAGAGGCGAGAGAGCAGGGAGGAAGAGAGGCGAGAGAGCAGGGAGGAAGAGAGGCGAGAGAGCAGGGAGGAAGAGAAGCGAGAGAGCAGGGAGGAAGAGAGGCGAGAGAGCAGGGAGGAAGAGAGGCGAGAGAGCAGGGAGGAAGAGAGGCGAGAGAGCAGGGAGGAAGAGAGGCGAGAGAGCGGGGAGGAAGAGAGGCGAGAGAGCAGGGAGGAAGAGAGGCGAGAGAGCAGGGAGGAAGAGAAGCGAGAGAGCAGGGAGGAAGAGAAGCGAGAGAGCAGGGAGGAAGAGAGGCGAGAGAGCAGGGAGGAAGAGACGCGAGAGAGCAGGGAGGAAGAGAAGCGAGAGAGCAGGGAGGAAGAGAGGCGAGAGAGCAGGGAGGAAGAGAGGCGAGAGAGCAGGGAGGAAGAGAGGCGAGAGAGCAGGGAGGAAGAGAGGCGAGAGAGCAGGGAGGAAGAGAAGCGAGAGAGCAGGGAGGAAGAGAAGCGAGAGAGCAGGGAGGAAGAGAGGCGAGAGAGCAGGGAGGAAGAGAGGCGAGAGAGCAGGGAGGAAGAGAGGCGAGAGAACAGGGAGGAAGAGAGGCGAGAGAACAGGGAGGAAGAGAGGCGAGAGAGCAGGGAGGAAGAGAAGCGAGAGAGCAGGGAGGAAGAGAAGCGAGAGAGCAGGAAGGAAAAGAGGCGAGAGAGCAGGGAGGAAGAGAAGCGAGAGAGCAGGGAGGAAGAGAAGCGAGAGAGCAGGGAGGAAGAGAGGCGAGAGAGCAGGGAGGAAGAGAGGCGACAGAGCAGGGAGGAAGAGAGGCGAGAGAGCAGGAAGGAAGAGAAGCGAGAGAGCAGGGAGGAAGAGAGGCGAGAGAGCAGGGAGGAAGAGAGGCGAGAGAGCACGGAGGAAGAGAGGCGAGAGAGCAGGGAGGAAGAGAGGCGAGAGAGAAGGGAGGAAGAGAGGCGAGAGAGCAGGGAGGAAGAGAGGCGAGAGAGCAGGGAGGAAGAGAGGCGAGAGAGCACGGAGGAAGAGAGGCGAGAGAGCAGGGAGGAAGAGAGGCGAGAGAGCAGGGAGGAAGAGAAGCGAGACAGCAGGGAGGAAGAAAAGCGAGAGAGCAGGGAGGAAGAGAAGCGAGAGAGCAGGGAGGAAGAGAAGCGAGAGAGCAGGGAGGAAGAGAAGCGAGAGAGCAGGGAGGAAGAGAAGCGAGAGAGCAGGGAGGAAGAGAGGCGAGAGAGCAGGGAGGAAGAGAGGCGAGAGAGCAGGGAGGAAGAGAAGCGAGAGAGCAGGGAGGAAGAGAGGCGAGAGAGCAGGGAGGAAGAGAAGCGAGAGAGCAGGGAGGAAAAGAGGCGAGAGAGCAGGGAGGAAGAGAGGCGAGAGAGCAGGGAGGAAGAGAAGCGAGAGAGCAGGGAGGAAGAGAGGCGAGAGAGCAGGGAGGAAGAGAGGCGACAGAGCAGGGAGGAAGAGAGGCGAGAGAGCAGGAAGGAAGAGAAGCGAGAGAGCAGGGAGGAAGAGAGGCGAGAGAGCAGGGCGGAAGAGAAGCGAGAGAGCAGGGAGGAAGAGAAGCGAGAGAGCAGGGAGGAAGAGAAGCGAGAGAGCAGGGAGGAAGAGAGGCGAGAGAGCAGGGAGGAAGAGAGGCGAGAGAGCAGGGAGGAAGAGAAGCGAGAGAGCAGGGAGGAAGAGAGGCGAGAGAGCAGGGAGGAAGAGAAGCGAGAGAGCAGGGAGGAAAAGAGGCGAGAGAGCAGGGAGGAAGAGAGGCGAGAGAGCAGGGAGGAAGAGAAGCGAGAGAGCAGGGAGGAAGGGAAGCGAGAGAGCAGGGAGGAAGAGAGGCGAGAGAGCAGGGAGGAAGAGACGCGGGAGAGCAGGGAGGAAGAGACGCGAGAGAGCAGGGAGGAAGAGAGGCGAGAGAGCAGGGAGGAAGAGAGGCGAGAGAGCAGGGAGGAAGAGAGGCGAGAGAGGAGGGAGGAAGGGAAGCGAGAGAGCAGGGAGGAAGAGAAGCGAGAGAGCAGGGAGGAAGAGAAGCGAGAGAGCAGAGAGGAAGAGAGGCGAGAGAGCAGGGAGGAAGAGAAGCGAGAAAGCAGGGAGGAAGAGAGGCGAGAGAGCAGGGAGGAAGAGAGGCGAGAGAGCATGGAGGAAGAGAGGCGAGAGACCAGGGAGGAAGAGAGGCGAGAGAGCAGGGAGGAAGAGAAGCGAGAGAGCAGGGAGGAAGAGAGGCGAGAGAGCAGGGAGGAAGAGAGGCGAGAGAGCAGGAAGGAAGAGAGGCGAGAGAGCAGGGAGGAAGAGAAGCGAGAGAGCAGGGAGGAAGAGAGGCGAGAGAGCAGGGAGGAAGAGACGCGAGAAAGAAGGAAGGAAGAGAGGCGAGAGAGCAGGGAGGAAGAGAAGCGAGAGAGCAGGGAGGAAGAGAGGCAAGAGAGCAGGGAGGAAGAGAAGCGAGAGAGCAGGGAGGAAGAGAAGCGAGAGAGCAGGGAGGAAGGGAAGCGAGAGAGCAGGAAGGAAGAGAAGCGAGAGAGAAGGGAGGAAGAGAGGCGAGAGAGCAGGGAGGAAGAGAAGCGAGAGAGCAGGGTGGAAGAGAGGCGAGAGAGCAGGGAGGAAGAGAGGCAAGAGAGCAGGGAGGAAGAGAGGCGAGAGAGCAGGGAGGAAGAGAAGCGAGAGAGCAGGGAGGAAGAGAGGCGAGAGAGCAGGGAGGAAGAGAAGCGAGAGAGCAGGGAGGAAGAGAGGCGAGAGAGCAGGGAGGAAGAGAGGCGAGAGAGCAGGGAGGAAGAGTAGCGAGAGAGCAGGGAGGAAGAGAAGCGAGAGAGCAGGGAGGAAAAGAAGCTAGAGAGCAGGAAGGAAGAGAAGAAGAGAGCAGGGAGTAAGAGAAGCGAGAGAGCAGGGAGGAAGAGAGGCGAGAGAGCAGGGAGGAAGAGAAGCGAGAGAGCAGGGAGGAAGAGAGGCGAGAGAGCAGGGAGGAAGAGAGGCGAGAGAGCAGGGAGGAAGAGAAGCGAGAGAGCAGGGAGGAAGAGAGGCGAGAGAGCAGGGAGGAAGAGAAGAGAGAGAGCAGGGAGGAAGAGAGGCGAGAGAGCAGGGAGGAAGAGAGGCGAGAGAGCAGGGAGGAAGAGAAGCGAGAGAGCAGGGAGGAAGGGAAGCGAGAGAGCAGGGAGGAAGAGAGGCGAGAGAGCAGGGAGGAAGAGACGCGAGAGAGCAGGGAGGAAGAGAAGCGAGAGAGCAGGGAGGAAGAGAAGCGAGAGAGCAGGGAGGAAGAGAGGCGAGAGAGCAGGGAGAAAGAGAAGCGAGAGAGCAGGGAGGAAGAGAGGCGAGAGATCAGGGAGGAAGAGAAGCGAGAGAGCAGGGAGGAAGAGAGGCGAGAGAGCAGGAAGGAAGAGAGGCGAGAGAGCAGGGAGGAAGAGAGGCGAGAGAGCAGGGAGGAAGAGAAGCGACAGAGCAGGGAGGAAGAGAGGCGGGAGAGCAGGGACGAAGAGAAGCGAGAGAGCAGGGAGGAAGAGAGGCGAGAGAGCAGGGAGGAAGAGAAGCGAGAGAGCAGGGAGGAAGAGAGGCGAGAGAGCAGAAAGGAAGAGAGGCGAGAGAGCAGGGAGGAAGAGAGGCGAGAAAGCAGGGAGGAAGAGAGGCGAGAGAGCAGGGAGGAAGAGAAGCGAGAGAGCAGGGAGGAAGAGAGGCGAGAGAGCAGGAAGGAAGAGAGGCGAGAGAGCAGGGAGGAAGAGAAGCGAGAGAGCAGGGAGGAAGAGAGGCGAGAGAGCAGGGAGGAAGAGAGGCGAGAGAGCAGGGAGGAAGAGAGGCGAGAGAGCAGGGAGGAAGAGAGGCGAGAGAGCAGGGAGGAAGAGAGGCGAGAGAGCAGGGAGGAAGAGAGGCGAGAGAGCAGGGAGGAAGAGAGGCGAGAAAGCAGGGAGGAAGAGAGGCGAGAGAGCAGGGAGGAAGAGAAGCGAGAGAGCAGGGAGGAAGAGAGGCGAGAGAGCAGGAAGGAAGAGAGGCGAGAGTGCAGGGAGGAAGAGACGCAAGAGAGCAGGGAGGAAGAGAGGCGAGAGAGCAGGGAGGTAGAGAAGCGAGAGAGCAGGGAGGAAGAGAGGCGAGAGAGCAGGAAGGAAGAGAGGCGAGAGAGCAGGGAGGAAGAGAAGCGAGAGAGCAGGGAGGAAGAGAAGCGAGAGAGCAGGGAGGAAGGGAAGCGAGAGAGCAGGGAGGAAGAGTGGCGAGAGAGCAGGGATGAAGAGAAGCGAGAGAGCAGGGAGGAAAAGAGGTTAGAGAGCAGGGAGGAAGAGAAGCGAGAGAGCAGGGAGGAAGAGAGGCGAGAGAGCAGGGAGGAAGAGAAGCGAGAGAGCAGGGAGGAAGAGAAGCGAGAGAGCAGGGAGGAAGGGAAGCGAGAGAGCAGGGAGGAAGAGAAGCGAGAGAGCAGGGAGGAACAGAGGCGAGAGAGCAGGGAGGAAGAGACGCGAGAAAGCAGGGAGGAAGAGAGGCGAGAGAGCAGGGAGGAAGAGAAGCGAGAGAGCAGGGAGGAAGAGAAGCGAGGGAGCAGGGAGGAAGGGAAGCGAGAGAGCAGGGAGGAAGAGAGGCGAGAGAGCAGGGAGGAAGAGAAGCGAGAGAGCAGGGAGGAAGAGAGGCGAGAGAGCAGAAAGGAAGAGAGGCGAGAGAGCAGGGAGGAAGAGACGCGAGAAAGCAGGGTGGAAGAGAGGCGAGAGAGGAAGGAGGAAGAGAAGCGAGAGAGCAGGGAGGAAGAGAGGCGAGAGAGCAGGAAGGAAGAGAGGCGAGAGAGCAGGGAGGAAGAGAAGCGAGAGAGCAGGGAGGAAGAGAGGCGAGAGAGCAGGGAGGAAGAGAGGCGAGAGAGCAGGGAGGAAGAGAGGCGAGAGAGCAGGGAGGAAGAGAGGCGAGAGAGCAGGGAGGAAGAGAGGCGAGAGAGCAGGGAGGAAGAGAGGCGAGAGAGCAGGGAGGAAGAGAGGCGAGAAAGCAGGGAGGAAGAGAGGCGAGAGAGCAGGGAGGAAGAGAAGCAAGAGAGCAGGGAGGAAGAGAGGCGAGAGAGCAGGAAGGAAGAGAGGCGAGAGAGCAGGGAGGAAGAGACGCAAGAGAGCAGGGAGGAAGAGAGGCGAGAGAGCAGGGAGGTAGAGAAGCGAGAGAGCAGGGAGGAAGAGAGGCGAGAGAGCAGGAAGGAAGAGAGGCGAGAGAGCAGGGAGGAAGAGAAGCGAGAGAGCAGGGAGGAAGAGAAGCGAGAGAGCAGGGAGGAAGAGAGGCGAGAGAGCAGGAAGGAAGAGAGGCGAGAGAGCAGGGAGGAAGAGAAGCGAGAGAGCAGGGAGGAAGAGAGGCGAGAGAGCAGGGAGGAAGAGAGGCGAGAGAGCAGGGAGGAAGAGAAGCGAGAGAGCAGGGAGGAAGAGAGGCGAGAGAGCAGGGAGGAAGAGAAGCGAGAGAGCAGGGAGGAAGGGAAGCGAGAGAGCAGGGAGGAAGAGAAGCGAGAGAGAAGGGAGGAAGAGAGGCGAGAGAGCAGGGAGGAAGAGAGGCGAGAGAGCAGGGAGGAAGAGAGGCGAGAGAGCAGGGAGGAAGAGAGGCGAGAGAGCAGGGAGGAAGAGAGGCGAGAGAGCAGGGAGGAAGAGAGGCGAGAGAGCAGGGAGGAAGAGAGGCGAGAAAGCAGGGAGGAAGAGAGGCGAGAGAGCAGGGAGGAAGAGAAGCGAGAGAGCAGGGAGGAAGAGAGGCGAGAGAGCAGGAAGGAAGAGAGGCGAGAGTGCAGGGAGGAAGAGACGCAAGAGAGCAGGGAGGAAGAGAGGCGAGAGAGCAGGGAGGTAGAGAAGCGAGAGAGCAGGGAGGAAGAGAGGCGAGAGAGCAGGAAGGAAGATAGGCGAGAGAGCAGGGAGGAAGAGAAGCGAGAGAGCAGGGAGGAAGAGAAGCGAGAGAGCAGGGAGGAAGGGAAGCGAGAGAGCAGGGAGGAAGAGAGGCGAGAGAGCAGGGACGAAGAGAAGCGAGAGAGCAGGGAGGAAAAGAGGTTAGAGAGCAGGGAGGAAGAGAAGCGAGAGAGCAGGGAGGAAGAGAGGCGAGAGAGCAGGGAGGAAGAGAAGCGAGAGAGCAGGGAGGAAGAGAAGCGAGAGAGCAGGGAGGAAGGGAAGCGAGAGAGCAGGGAGGAAGAGAAGCGAGAGAGCAGGGAGGAACAGAGGCGAGAGAGCAGGGAGGAAGAGACGCGAGAAAGCAGGGAGGAAGAGAGGCGAGAGAGCAGGGAGGAAGAGAAGCGAGAGAGCAGGGAGGAAGAGAAGCGAGGGAGCAGGGAGGAAGGGAAGCGAGAGAGCAGGGAGGAAGAGAGGCGAGAGAGCAGGGAGGAAGAGAAGCGAGAGAGCAGGGAGGAAGAGAGGCGAGAGAGCAGAAAGGAAGAGAGGCGAGAGAGCAGGGAGGAAGAGACGCGAGAAAGCAGGGTGGAAGAGAGGCGAGAGAGGAAGGAGGAAGAGAAGCGAGAGAGCAGGGAGGAAGAGAGGCGAGAGAGCAGGAAGGAAGAGAGGCGAGAGAGCAGGGAGGAAGAGAAGCGAGAGAGCAGGGAGGAAGAAGGCGAGAGAGCAGGGAGGAAGAGAGGCGAGAGAGCAGGGAGGAAGAGAGGCGAGAGAGCAGGGAGGAAGAGAGGCGAGAGAGCAGGGAGGAAGAGAGGCGAGAGAGCAGGGAGGAAGAGAGGCGAGAAAGCAGGGAGGAAGAGAGGCGAGAGAGCAGGGAGGAAGAGAAGCAAGAGAGCAGGGAGGAAGAGAGGCGAGAGAGCAGGAAGGAAGAGAGGCGAGAGAGCAGGGAGGAAGAGACGCAAGAGAGCAGGGAGGAAGAGAGGCGAGAGAGCAGGGAGGTAGAGAAGCGAGAGAGCAGGGAGGAAGAGAGGCGAGAGAGCAGGAAGGAAGAGAGGCGAGAGAGCAGGGAGGAAGAGAAGCGAGAGAGCAGGGAGGAAGAGAAGCGAGAGAGCAGGGAGGAAGAGAAGCGAGAGAGCAGGGAGGAAGAGAGGCGAGAGAGCAGGGACGAAGAGAAGCGAGAGAGCAGGGAGGAAAAGAGGTTAGAGAGCAGGGAGGAAGAGAAGCGAGAGAGCAGGGAGGAAGAGAGGCGAGAGAGCAGGGAGGAAGAGAAGCGAGAGAGCAGGGAGGAAGAGAAGCGAGAGAGCAGGGAGGAACAGAGGCGAGAGAGCAGGGAGGAAGAGAGGCGAGAGAGCAGGGAGGAAGAGACGCGAGAGAGCAGGGAGGAAGAGAAGCGAGAGAGCAGGGAGGAAGAGAGGCGAGAGAGCAGGAAGGAAGAGAGGCGAGAGAACAGGGACGAAGAGAAGCGAGAGAGCAGGGAGGAAAGGAAGCGAGAGAGCAGGGAGGAAGAGAAGCGAGAGAGCAGGGAGGAAGAGAGGCGAGAGAGCAGGGAGGAAGAGAGGCGAGAGAGCAGGGAGGAAGAGAGGCGAGAGAGCAGGGAGGAAGAGAGGCGAGAGAGCAGGGAGGAAGAGAGGCGACAGAGCAGGGAGGAAGAGAGGCGAGAGAGCAGGGAGGAAGAGACGCGAGAAAGCAGGGAGGAAGAGAGGCGAGAGAGCAGGGAGGAAGAGAAGCGAGAGAGCAGGGAGGAAGAGAGGCGAGAGAGCAGAAAGGAAGAGAGGCGAGAGAGCAGGGAGGAAGAGACGCGAGAAAGCAGGGAGGAAGAGAGGCGAGAGAGCAGGGAGGAAGTGAAGCGAGAGAGCAGGGAGGAAGAGAGGCGAGAGAGCAGGAAGGAAGAGAGGCGAGAGAGCAGGGAGGAAGAGAAGCGAGAGAGCAGGGAGGAAGAGAGGCGAGAGAGCAGGGAGGAAGAGAGGCGAGAAAGCAGGGAGGAAGAGAGGCGAGAGAGCAGGGAGGAAGAGAGGCGAGAGAGCAGGGAGGAAGAGAGGCGAGAGAGCAGGGAGGAAGAGAGGCGAGAGAGCAGGGAGGAAGAGAGGCGAGAAAGCAGAGAGGAAGAGAGGCGAGAGAGCAGGGAGGAAGAGAGGCGAGAGAGCAGGGAGGAAGAGAGGCGAGAGAGCAGGGAGGAAGAGAAGCGAGAGAGCAGGGAGGAAGAGAAGCGAGAGAGCAGGGAGGAAGAGAAGCGAGAGAGCAGGGAGGAAGAGAAGCGAGAGAGCGGGGAGGAAGAGAAGAAGAGAGCAGGGAGGAAGAGAAGCGAGAGAGCAGGGAGGAAGAGAGGCGAGAGAGCAGGGAGGAAGAGAAGCGAGAGAGCAGGGAGGAAGAGAGGCGAGAGAGCAGGGAGGAAGAGAGGCGAGAGAGCAGGGAGGAAGAGAAGCGAGAGAGCAGGGAGGAAGAGAGGCGAGAGAGCAGGGAGGAAGAGAAGAGAGAGAGCAGGGAGGAAGAGAGGCGAGAGAGCAGGGAGGAAGAGAGGCGAGAGAGCAGGGAGGAAGGGAAGCGAGAGAGCAGGGAGGAAGGGAAGCGAGAGAGCAGAGAGGAAGAGAGGCGAGAGAGTAGGGAGGAAGAGACGCGAGAGAGCAGGGAGGAGGAGAAGCGAGAGAGCAGGGAGGAAGTGAAGCGAGAGAGCAGGGAGGAAGAGAGGCGAGAGAGCAGGGAGAAAGAGAAGCGAGAGAGCAGGGAGGAACAGAGGCGAGAGATCAGGGAGGAAGAGAAGCAAGAGAGCAGGGAGGAAGAGAGGCGAGAGACCAGGGAGGAAGAGAGGCAAGGGAGCAAGGAGGAAGAGAAGCGAGAGAGCAGGGAGGAAGAGAGGCGAGAGAGCAGGAAGGAAGAGAGGCGAGAGAGCAAGGAGGAAGAGAAGCGAGAGAGCAGGGAGGAAGAGAGGCGAGAGAGCAGGGAGGAAGAGAAGAGAGAGAGCAGGGAGGAAGAGAGGCGAGAGAGCAGGGAGGAAGAGAGGCGAGAGAGCAGGGAGGAAGGGAAGCGAGAGAGCAGGGAGGAAGGGAAGCGAGAGAGCAGAGAGGAAGAGAGGCGAGAGAGTAGGGAGGAAGAGACGCGAGAGAGCAGGGAGGAAGAGAAGCGAGAGAGCAGGGAGGAAGAGAGGCGAGAGAGCAGGGAGGAAGAGAAGCGAGAGAGCAGGGAGGAAGAGAGGCGAGAGAGCAGGGAGGAAGAGAGGCGAGAGAGCAGGGAGGAAGAGAAGCGAGAGAGCAGGGAGGAAGAGAGGCGAGAGAGCAGGGAGGAAGAGAAGAGAGAGAGCAGGGAGGAAGAGAGGCGAGAGAGCAGGGAGGAAGAGAGGCGAGAGAGCAGGGAGGAAGGGAAGCGAGAGAGCAGGGAGGAAGGGAAGCGAGAGAGCAGAGAGGAAGAGAGGCGAGAGAGTAGGGAGGAAGAGACGCGAGAGAGCAGGGAGGAGGAGAAGCGAGAGAGCAGGGAGGAAGTGAAGCGAGAGAGCAGGGAGGAAGAGAGGCGAGAGAGCAGGGAGAAAGAGAAGCGAGAGAGCAGGGAGGAACAGAGGCGAGAGATCAGGGAGGAAGAGAAGCAAGAGAGCAGGGAGGAAGAGAGGCGAGAGACCAGGGAGGAAGAGAGGCAAGGGAGCAAGGAGGAAGAGAAGCGAGAGAGCAGGGAGGAAGAGAGGCGAGAGAGCAGGAAGGAAGAGAGGCGAGAGAGCAAGGAGGAAGAGAAGCGAGAGAGCAGGGAGGAAGAGAGGCGAGAGAGCAGGGAGGAAGAGAAGAGAGAGAGCAGGGAGGAAGAGAGGCGAGAGAGCAGGGAGGAAGAGAGGCGAGAGAGCAGGGAGGAAGGGAAGCGAGAGAGCAGGGAGGAAGGGAAGCGAGAGAGCAGAGAGGAAGAGAGGCGAGAGAGTAGGGAGGAAGAGACGCGAGAGAGCAGGGAGGAAGAGAAGCGAGAGAGCAGGGAGGAAGAGAAGCGAGAGAGCAGGGAGGAAGAGAGGCGAGAGATCAGGGAGGAAGAGAAGCAAGAGAGCAGGGAGGAAGAGAGGCGAGAGACCAGGGAGGAAGAGAGGCGAGGGAGCAGGGAGGAAGAGAAGCGAGAGAGCAGGGAGGAAGAGAGGCGAGAGAGCAGGGAGGAAGAGACGCGAGAAAGCAGGGAGGAAGAGAGGCGAGAGAGCAGGGAGGAAGAGAAGCGAGAGAGCAGGGAGGAAGAGAGGCGAGAGAGCAGGAAGGAAGAGAGGCGAGAGAGCAAGGAGGAAGAGAAGCGAGAGAGCAGGGAGGAAGAGAGGCGAGAGAGCAGGGAGGAAGAGAAGCGAGAGAGCAGGGAGGAAGGGAAGTGAGAGAGCAGGGAGGAAGAGAAGCGAGAGAGAAGGGAGGAAGAGAAGCGAGAGAGAAGGGAGGAAGAGAGGCGAGAGAGCAGGGAGGAAGAGAGGCGAGAGAGCAGGGAGGAAGAGAGGCGAGAGAGCAGGGAGGAAGAGAGGCGAGAGAGCAGGGAGGAAGAGAGGCGAGAGAGCAGGGAGGAAGAGAGGCGAGAGAGCAGGGAGGAAGAGAGGCGAGAAAGCAGGGAGGAAGAGAGGCGAGAGAGCAGGGAGGAAGAGAAGCGAGAGAGCAGGGAGGAAGAGAGGCGAGAGAGCAGGAAGGAAGAGAGACGAGAGAGCAGGGAGGAAGAGAAGCGAGAGAGCAGGGAGGAAGAGAGGCGAGAGAGCAGGGAGGAAGAGAAGTAAGAGAGCAGGGGGGAAGGGAAGCGAGAGAGCATGGAGGAAGAGAAGCGAGAGAGAAGGGAGGAAGAGAGGCGAGAGAGCAGGGAGGAAGAGAGGCGAGAGAGCAGGGAGGAAGAGAGGCGAGAGAGCAGGGAGGAAGAGAGGCGAGAGAGCAGGGAGGAAGAGAGGCGAGAGACCAGGGAGGAAGAGAGGCGAGAGAGCAGGGAGGAAGAGAAGCGAGAGAGCAGGGAGGAAGAGAGGCGAGAGAGCAGGGAGGAAGAGACGCGAGAGAGCAGGGAGGAAGAGAGGCGAGAGAGCAGGGAGGAAGAGAAGCGAGAGAGCAGGGAGGAAGTGAAGCGAGAGAGCAAGGAGGAAGGGAAGCGAGAGAGCAGGGAGGAAGAGAAGCGAGAGAGAAGGGAGGAAGAGAGGCGAGAGAGCAGGGAGGAAGAGAGGCGAGACAGCAGGGAGTAAGAGAGGCGAGAGAGCAGTGAGGAAGAGAGGCGAGAGAGCAGGGAGGAAGAGAGGCGAGAGAGGCAGGGCAGGAAGAGAGGCGAGAGAGCAGGGAGGAAGAGAGGCGAGAGAGCAGGGAGGAAGAGAGGCGAGAGAGCAGGGAGGAAGAGAGGGAGAGAGCAGGGAGGAAGAGAGCGAGAGAGCAGGGAGGAAGAGAGGCGAGAAAGCAGGGAGGAAGAGAGGCGAGAGAGCAGGGAGGAAGAGAAGCGAGAGAGCAGGGAGGAAGAGAGGCGAGAGAGCAGGAAGGAAGAGAGACGAGAGAGCAGGGAGGAAGAGAAGCGAGAGAGCAGGGAGGAAGAGAGGCGAGAGAGCAGGGAGGAAGAGAAGTAAGAGAGCAGGGGGGAAGGGAAGCGAGAGAGCATGGAGGAAGAGAAGCGAGAGAGAAGGGAGGAAGAGAGGCGAGAGAGCAGGGAGGAAGAGAGGCGAGAGAGCAGGGAGGAAGAGAGGCGAGAGAGCAGGGAGGAAGAGAGGCGAGAGAGCAGGGAGGAAGAGAGGCGAGAGACCAGGGAGGAAGAGAGGCGAGAGAGCAGGGAGGAAGAGAAGCGAGAGAGCAGGGAGGAAGAGAGGCGAGAGAGCAGGGAGGAAGAGACGCGAGAGAGCAGGGAGGAAGAGAGGCGAGAGAGCAGGGAGGAAGAGAAGCGAGAGAGCAGGGAGGAAGTGAAGCGAGAGAGCAAGGAGGAAGGGAAGCGAGAGAGCAGGGAGGAAGAGAAGCGAGAGAGAAGGGAGGAAGAGAGGCGAGAGAGCAGGGAGGAAGAGAGGCGAGACAGCAGGGAGTAAGAGAGGCGAGAGAGCAGTGAGGAAGAGAGGCGAGAGAGCAGGGAGGAAGAGAGGCGAGAGAGCAGGGAGGAAGAGAGGCGAGAGAGCAGGGAGGAAGAGAGGCGAGAGACCAGGGAGGAAGAGAGGCGAGAGAGCAGGGAGGAAGAGAAGCGAGAGAGCAGGGAGGAAGAGAGGCGAGAGAGCAGGGAGGAAGAGACGCGAGAAAGCAGGGAGGAAGAGAGGCGAGAGAGCAGGGAGGAAGAGAAGCGAGAGAGCAGGGAGGAAGTGAAGCGAGAGAGCAGGGAGGAAGGGAAGCGAGAGAGCAGGGAGGAAGAGAAGCGAGAGAGAAGGGAGGAATAGAGGCGAGAGAGCAGGGAGGAAGAGAGGCGAGAGAGCAGGGAGGAAGAGAAGCGAGAGAGCAGGGAGGAAGAGAGGCGAGAGAGCAGGGAGGAAGAGATGCGAGAAAGCAGGGAGGAAGAGAGGCGAGAGAGCAGTGAGGAAGAGAGGCGAGAGAGCAGGGAGGAAGAGAGCCGAGAGAGCAGGGAGGAAGAGAGGCGAGAGAGCAGGGAGGAAGAGAGGCGAGAGAGCAGGGAGGAAGAGAGGCGAGAGAGCAGGGAGGAAGAGAAGCGAGAGAGCAGGGAGGAAGAGAGGCGAGAGAGCAGGGAGGAAGAGATGCGAGAAAGCAGGGAGGAAGAGAGGCGAGAGAGCAGGGAGGAAGAGAAGCGAGAGAGCAGGGAGGAAGAGAGGCGAGAGAGCAGGGAGGAAGAGAAGCGAGAGAGCAGGGAGGAAGAGAAGCGAGAGAGCAGGGAGGAAGGGAAGGGAGAGAGCAGGGGGAAAGAGAAGCAAGAGAGAAGGGAGGAAGAGAGGCGAGAGAGCAGGGAGGAAGAGAGGCGAGAGAGCATGGAGGAAGAGAGGCAAGAGAGCAGGGAGGAAGAGAGGCGAGAGAGCAGGGAGGAAGAGACGCGAGATAGCAGGGAGGAAGAGAAGCGAGAGAGCAGGGAGGAAGAGAAGCGAGAGAGCAGGGAGGAAGAGAAGCGAGAGAGCAGGGAGGAAGGGAAGTGAGAGAGCAGGGAGGAAGAGAAGCGAGAGAGAAGGGAGGAAGAGAAGCGAGAGAGAAGGGAGGAAGAGAGGCGAGAGAGCAGGGAGGAAGAGGAGGCGAGAGAGGAAGCAGGGAGGGAAGAGAGGCGAGGAGAGCAGGGAGGAAGAGAGGCGAGAGAGCACGGAGGAAGAGAGGCGAAAAGGGAGGAAGAGGGCGAGAAAGGAGGAAGAGAGGCGAGAGAGCAGGGAGGAAAGGAGGCGAGAAAAGGGAGGAAGAGAGGCGAGAAAGCAGGGAGGAAGAGAGGCGAGAGAGCAGGGAGGAAGAGAAGCGAGAGAGCAGGGAGGAAGAGAGGCGAGAGAGCAGGAAGGAAGAGAGACGGAGAGCAGGGAGGAAGAGAAGCGAGAGAGCAGGGAGGAAGAGAGGCGAGAGAGCAGGGAGGAAGAGAAGTAAGAGAGCAGGGGGGAAGGGAAGCGAGAGAGCATGGAGAAGAGAACGAGAGAGAAGGGAGGAAGAGAGGCGAGGAGCAGGAGGAAGAGAGGCGAGAGAGCAGGAGGAAGAGGCGAGAGAGCAGGGAGGAAGAGAGGCGAGAGAGCAGGGAGGAAGAGAGGCGAGAGACCAGGGAGGAAGAGAGGCGAGAGAGCAGGGAGGAAGAGAAGCAAGAGAGCAGGGGGAAGAGAGGCGAGAGAGCAGGAGGAAGAGACGCGAGAGAGCAGGGAGAAGAGAGGCGAGAGAGCAGGGAGGAAGAGAAGCGAGGAGCAGGGAGGAAGTGAAGCGAGAGAGCAAGGAGGAAGGGAAAGCGAGAGAGCAGGGAGGAAGAGAAGCGAGAGAGAAGG